TAGTTCCCGTGGTTTAATTCTCACACTACCGGACCAATGATGTAATGAGTTCTGGACTTTCACTTCCCAAAAATTGTCTTTATCGAGTAAAATTCTAGAGAAAGGATAATTCTTAAAAGGTAATAGCACGAGCTTAATTTTCCTGCCGGTTTTTTTTTTCATTACGATCCACGTTCAAAATTGAATGAAAGTTCATAAGTGTGGCTTTTAGCCTTAGAACGAAACATGATAACATCACTTTCTGTGCTCCTTCCGCCATTTTGCGCCCGTGTTTGTCTGAACATGCTTACTACAAGGTTCAATACAGAAGCTGTAAAAAAGTACATGTCCAAAATTTATGCAGTAAATTTAATGGTTCCTAGTTTAGTTGAGCGACAAAGTGTTACGTCTGATCATATTTAGATTGTTTCTATCAATTTTTAATTTTTTTCAGTATAAACCCAATTGTGAGCTAGTCTGCCGTGCTAAGGAAGAGGAGCGCCGTATGAACATTCGAGAGTTGCCAAATTTCCTTCGATAAAATGTCCATTTCTGAGGAAAATTATGCATATATTGCGAGCGAAATTGTCCGAAAAATTGGATGAAAAACGTTCATAGGTTGACTAAGAAATTCGTGTTTTATCAAGGGAAATTTGGCAACGCTTGAAGGTTCATACGGCGCTTTTCCGTGGCACGGCAGTAGTTGGCCATACGCACGGCACTTTCGCCGTGCGTTTTTTTGAGCGACAATAATTAATAATTACGTAGTGGATAAAATCACCCGCGAGAGGGGAAAAAAAGAGACTTAAAAGTTGGAAGCCGTTCGACTCGCACGTTTCGTGGCGGTGATGATTTGCTCAAACACTCAGTCGAATCGAAAACACATTCGCGTCGGGCCGAGAAGTTCCCTGGCCGGGGGAAAAAATCCGAGACCCGAGGTAAAAGGGCCATAATTTCCTGCTGCTAGCGGCAGCACACAACTTCCAAAGAGGAAATGAAAACAAATCACAAGTTTGGACGCGGCGCAATCGCGGCGCGAAACTTGGGCGATGGCGGTAATGGGTCCAAGTTGGGCAAAATAAACCATGTTAGGTAAGTAAACACACGTTATCGAACACGAGTGAGTAAACAATCGCAGGGAGGGGGCGGTGAAGAGCGGGAGGGCGTGGGAGGGGGGGCGACGACAACGTCGCAAAGCGCGTCGTCAAAATCATATCAACACTGCTCTCGTTCCCTTACGGTTGCGGTGCGGTGAGTGCTGACGAACACTTCATCGCACACGCTCGACCTGTCTCGACCGCAGCGCGGCGTACAAAGAACGAAATCCTCCGTTTCTTGGATATTATCGAGGTATCCGTGAGTAAAAGCACTGTCAAAAATCAGTGATTTACTCTGAGTACAAGTTGTAGAAATCCTGTATACTCATTCAGGTTTTTGGCGCCTTCAATTCGAATGATACTTCCAGCACTGCCGGAGAGTTAGTTTAGTTGCGTGACCTAACCTAAGCCAACCTGGCTCTATTTGCGATCGGTTCCCGATCTTTGTGATCGATTAGAGTCATAAAACTCGGGCATATTCAATTACTGCAAAGGTAAAACGTACTGTAACGTGCTCATAGTGTACCAAAAGAGTTGAAGAGCCTAGAAAGTTCTATTAATTGAAGTTGTAGAGATTCTTTATACTAGTTTAGATTTCGGGCGCCTTCAATTCGAATGATACTTCCAGCACTGTCGGAGGGTTAGTTTAGGTGCGTAACCTAACCTAACCTAACCCAACCTGACTCTGTTTGAAATCTGTTTCCGAGCTTTGTAACCGATCAGAGTCATAAAACTCGGGCATATTCAATTACTGCAAAGGTAAAACGTACTGTAACGTTCCGGGATTGCTTTTTATGTATTATTTTCTACGAGGTAACGATTCTAATTGTTTTTCTCGAAGTTCTCCGTGAATTTTTGGTGAAACGCAAAGATTTCTGATAAATCCTTGCCCAAAATTTTATCGTTTACAAGGAATGCTCATAGGATAAAGAGTAGGAAAATTTGACCATGTTTTCAGTGAGAATTACTATTTCTGACTCATTTTAAATAGAACATATCGTCGCATCCTCTAGACGAAAGGGCGTATTATAATTTTCAAGTGAGCCCTGTTATCCATATAACTTCATGTTTTTCGGGGTTCTTTTGGTAATGGAAATACGCCCTTGGGTCGGAGAAGCGACGACATGTTCCAGCAGTTTTCCTATGTTGACAACCGGTGTTATGAATGAGCTGGAACTAGCGGTGCAAACAGATTCAAACAGGTCCTCCAACTGCAAATTAAGTTAATTTCAAAAAAGAGTCTTCAAATAGAAATTAAAGCAAATACTGCGTCCTTCCTAAGTATGTCAATATGCTCAGCTAAGATCACGAGGAAACTAAGTTGAAGCATCATTGATTTAAATCAGTGCTCAGTTGCGAGCGGTACCAGCCACCGAGCACCTAATCGGCCGTTCTGGATAAAAAATTCACAAACGATGGCGCCTGGTGAAACCACTATTCAACATGCTTCGACTGATCGAGTATTTACTTTGCACTTTGTTAGGTGCGGCAGCACCATCTATCGGACAAACGATGCATCGATCGGCCGCCAGGAAGCAGACGCGACCGAGGTTCTCAAGATTCGAGGAGTAAGTGCACGGTCGTTTGGCAAGGGTACAATCTAGGTAATGTCACCCATTACGGGCAACGATTCTAAACAACTGACACGAGTAAAGGAAGAAGGTTTCCCAAGAGTAAATGACTATCGCAGGCGCCTTTTCCAGAATGGAGATAAAAACGCACCAATATGAGAGCACCTGGATTCAAGATATTTAGTTTTAGGTGGGCCTTCTCATCTGACGTCTGACGCCTTTGTGTTTCACGTTTGGTTCGAATGTCGGAAATATCTTAAATCCGGTCGACTTGGCTCTGGCCCGTTTCTCCGACTTAAATTTTATATTAATTTTTAGGTTGTTCGTCCTCACCAAAGTAGTATACTGCCGTGCCAAGGAAGAACGCTGTATGAACATTCGATACTTGCCAAATTTTCTTCGATAAAATATTCATTTTTGAGGAATGGTATAAATATTTGTCCTAGAAATTTTGAGGAGCCATAGGTGAAATTTCGGTAAAAATTATCTGAAAAATTGGAAGGAAAATGTTCGTAAGTTTACCAGGAAATTCGTGTTTTATCAAACGAATTTGGCAACGCCTCAAGGCTCAAACGGCGTTTTTTCTTAGCACAACAGCATACTGATTTTGACGTTGGAAAACTTTCCTTGTAATTTTTCAGATAATTTTATGTGCAATTATTTCTGAAACATCTGAAAATTTCAAAGAAAACTACTTATAATCATCATCTAAAATAAAAAATTTATCGGAGAAGACTTGGCAACGTTCGAAAAGTTCAGGAGCGCGCCCATATAAGGTTTTGAAAAGCTGAAGGAAAATTGATTTCCAAAATGATCAGAAAATAAATACATATCTTAATAGCAGGAATAAATACTTTTGGAAAAGCCAATAGCACTTTAGGCTAAGTTCGCCATCTTGAATTTTGGAATTTTGAAGATTTGATCTAAAATTCTAAATTCCTGTCAAACAGTACCTTCTAATACCGAAAATCACAAAAATCGACCAAACAGGAGTCGAGATAGCATTCATCTACCAAAGCCACGAAGTGACAAAAATTCACTGAGAACTTCGAGAAAAACAATTGGATGAGTTACCTTGTAAAAAATAATACATTTAAAAAGATTTCGGAACGCGGGAACACGTTTTACCTTTGCAGGAATTGAATATGCCCGAGTTTAATGATTCTGATCGATCACAAAACTCCGGAGCCGATCGCGAACAGAGTGAGGTTGGGTTAAGTTAGGTCACGCAACTAAACTAACTCTTCGGCAAAGCTGGAAGTATCACTCAAATTGAAGGCGCCCGAATCCTGAATTAACAAACAGGATTTCTGCAACGTGGATGAATATAAGTTTCTAGGCTCCTCATCTCTTTTGTTACACTATGAGCACTTGGGCAGTGATGATGCGAAAAAAAATCACTTATGGATAATTTGACGTTGCCAAATTTCTTCCGATTGGCGGCCGAAATTCAAAATCACGGATTTTCAATGAGGTACTCTATACCATGCTTATTATGAAATTACAAAAAGTTTTAATAGTACGTAGCGTTAGAAAAACTCTTCAACTTTGAAAGGAGCCAAAGATTCTGAAAAATGATTTATTCGTAGTAAGTCGCAAATAAATCTTGCAACATATACTCCGATGAAAAGTTGAAGAAGGCAAAATCTTGTTTAAATCGGTGTGGTGATCGAAAAATTGATAGCCATTTCATAGTCACATAGTAGAGGGAGGTATTGTGAAGTCATCGTGCAGGGTGTCTCCTGGTACTCTGTCATTAAAATTCCTTGCTTTTTACAGTGCCTTTTTTTTTGCTTTTTCTTTACTTTCGGCGATTCTCAGAAATCTTTACTTTTTCCTTGCTTTTTCTTCTTACCTCGCGCACATTTTTGTCTGTATTCGGATATGGAGAGTGGAATGACAGAGGAATAAACCGAATAAAATACGCGGAATCTAACCGAGGACTTGATAAATGGATTATGCTAGGAAATATGTAGCCTTAGGGATGAATGTATGTATTTATGATGTATGTATTATGTAGCATTAGGGATATATCCACAGGGCTACTTTTTTTAAATTCACGAAAATCTCGAATTTCCGTGCCTTCTCAAGGAAATCAGAACTTTTTCCGTGTTTCCGCACTGACCTTTCGAAATCCGTGATTTTTCAGTATAGCCGCGCTTTTCCCGTGCAGTAGACACCCTGTCATGGCACATACACAATATAATTTCAAATAGTTTCTACTTACACTGTGTTCACATCATAAGTAAAGTTACAAATCATTTGTCGGTTGGTGTCATCAAGTGCAGATGAGAGTTGCCCAATCACAATACAATCGAATCATTTCAGGATGGATAAACTTGGACGGACTTACTTCTAGAGAGCTTGATGGTCCTGGAGCCCTCGGTGGGTGAGAGGATTCCAGAGCAGGAGGCGTCTCCAGACTGGGCGACCTGGTAGAAGTGGTTCCCGTTCTCCGTGTTCACCTCCCACATGAAGCAGCGGTACTTGTCCTCGTCACTTGACGCAGTCTTGTGCTCCAGCCGCCCGACCAGGTACCGACTCGAACCGTCCTTCCAGTCCGCTAAACACTCCAGCTCCTCCACTGCAACAAAATCAAACAACAATATTATACATGAATAGTGCAAACGTTTAAGGTAGCGCAGATAGCCTGTCCGGGGAAAGTATGGACGCAGGGTCCTATACTGCCGTGCTAAGGAAAAACGCCGTATGAACCTCTAGCCGTTGCCAAATTTTCTTTGATAAATCACGAATTTCCGAGAAAATTTGTAAATATTTTTCCTCCAATTTTTCACATAATTTTGTTCGTAATTTCACCTAAAAAAAAAGAGAACCGAGGTCATGTTCTAATCGACGAGTTGAGAGCCCGGTGTGCGCCACGATTCGGTCACCTATGAGTCACATTTTGATACAAAATGGCGATGTATGATACATAATAATTAATAACATCTTTGTTTACATCGGATAGCCAGGCAGCCGTGTATCGGAAAAAAAATTGACAATTTGTCCAAATGGACGTATTTCTATCGAACGGAAATTAGCGCCAATTTGAGTTCCTTTTGAGGAATTTAGAATCCCGGATAGCGCGTTCTGTCAAACGGACCTAAGCGCCATGGAAAAGCATTGCGAGTATAGGACGGAATGAACCCGACGACGCCCGATTCCGCCGCCAATCCAAGCCCCCCTCTACCTTCCTCACCCTATGGCGCTTACGTCCGTTTGATAGAAATACGTCCAAATAATGACCAGCAACGCACAGGAGTCATGGGATTCGATGACAGGAAAATACTTGAAAAGGCGTCTTCTATTCCTATTACGACTCTATATAAACTATGGTCTTTCTATGGGCTACATTGACAAAATCTTTGATAAAATTGATAGATAAAGTTATGTGCAAAGAAGACATAGGGAGTATGGGGCGATCCTATAGGTTAAAGTGGGTGGTTCCTGTCGACTGAGGGAGAAAATGATGTACTATATACGGATTTCCGTTAGTTAGTCTCCTTCCTATCTCCTCTGACCATCGCGACCACCCGCTTCCACCAATAGGACCCCCTCATATCCTTTTTGTCTATCGCTTCGTCTACCAATTTCAACAATCAGCCGGCAGTAATCGCGGATAACCAAGACTCAACCATTTCTCTGCTCAAAGGATGAGGGAAGCGCCTTTAATGAGCCTCCTAAATTAGGGAAATGACAAAGACGAGGCATTGTTCGTTGCCTTTGTTGGACACATTTTAATTTAGTCAAAACGCAAACACGCCAACGGGCGGCCTGAAAGGGATGACGAGGAAGTTAAATTGTCCCTTCGGCGGCTAACTACAAGATCGCATGATGCGCTCGCGTGTTGGACATGCATCTGGCGCGCGGCGCCGGCCTAAACAAACAATGCACCGGAGATTATCCCGCTGCTCGGCCATTAGCCATGGGCTCAATTACTGATTCACAAGTGAAAAACTAATCGTCCGCATCCCACCGCAAATGAGACGGATGGATCCCACAATTAATTAACGACCGATGGAAATGATAGCGCCGGCAAAGCACGTTAGCTCCTAGTTGTTCACTTTTACTCGACGAGTCATACACGACAGGCCGAATTTTGTTGGAAGTTGAAAACGCGGCGTGGAACAGCTGTAGCAGTGTAGGTATTCTTTTAAAGAACGAGAGGGGAATGTTGCCGGGATAGCGAAGAGAGCAGTAACTGCAAAAGTATAAGGTTTTGAGAAGACGGGCTCAGAAGCTTCTGAAAATTGTATTGAAAGAAGCCTCCGTTCTTTGACAAATTGCCACTAATCCTCCGAAAGACTCGCCTAGAAATAGTTTGGATGATTAAAAATCGACTGATTTTTTTTTTTTTTTTTTTTTTTTTTTTTACGACTAATTTTATTTCAATAATATAAATAGGATATTACATATTCATTTTCATGCTAGGCTGGTGTTAGGCAAGGCATCCGTAAGTGCTATCTTCTGCATGCTTTCGTGGTTGCGTTTTGGACACACAACAAACACATTTTCAGGTTAGAAATCGGCAGAGGAGAGAGGAGGGTGGTACTTTGCTCGAAAGCGCTGTTATTACTGGCTCTCTTGAGGAATATTGTCACTTACTGCTGTCTTGCCTGGGACTATGTCATCTTTTGTGTATTTACAGCTATCACATATATGTCGTTTTGATACAATTAAAATGAATTTTGCTGTTTTAGCTATTTCAATGATCTCGCTGAAAAGAAATTAGACGAATATTGAAGGAAACTCGATTTCAAGAATTTCACACTTACTGCTCTCTTCGCTATCCCGGCAGAATGATAGGACACAGCATTTTTAGTGATTGTGGTTTCCACCAAAAAGTATGGTGAGCTTGATACATTTTCTGGTAGGACTACCTCTAATAAAACTTCAATATAAAATCGGTCCGTTCGGCTTTACCATTCGGTTGAGAGAGGGAGAGAGAAAAAAGGAAACACTAAAAAATGAGGATTTGTGCACCTGTTGATTGCTAGTTTGATGTTACTTGGACGTATTTCTACCAAACAGACCTATGTGCAAGTGAGGAATATGGGGTGTGCTCGTTAGTTCTCTTTGCGTAAGAGAGAATGAGAATAATAAAGCACCAGTGACGTCAGCGGCAACAAACGAGACCGGGCGCACCGGGGAGATCCCCGCGGGGTGTCATTAACTCATGAGCCCTGTCCACAAGGCTCTCTTGCCATGCCCGTGGCTCATGAATTCCGCATTCAGTTGCACATAGGTTTGTTTGATAGAATGCAATATCCCGCTTTTCCAATTCTGCCAAAGGAATCACGCACACTTTTACATTGCTTCTTATGCAGCTTCCACGAGCACACCCCATATTTCTCACCTCCACATAGGTCTGTTTCGTAGAAATACGTCCACTTGTGGGTTGATTCATAACGCTCACTGTCTGTGGTGACGTCGCCGCCGCTAACGTCACTGGCGCTGTTTAATTCCCATTCATTCTTACGGTCGTCGACTAACTATCATACTCCTTCTCTCCCACCTGTCTCTGGTTTCGCCTAGCAGAAATACGTCCAGTTGCCAGAGAAAGTCGTTCGGACATTATTTGGCACCTTCTTACTATGTCAAAAGTTTCTCGAAAATTACAAAATTCTTTAAAATATGTATGTCTCATAACGCACCTATTGATAATTTTTCATTTAAAAATTTGCCACGCTAGAAACAGCCCGATAAGGGATATTGTAGATTTTTTGGAGTTACGTCATGGCGAGACATAGACGATACTCTCAATAGCACCAGAGCGCTAATTCTTTTATTAGGAAGCCAAAAGAATAGCTGGAGCAAAGAGGAGTTACATAAGTCGTGATAATCCCTCGTCACGTTTTCGGAATCGTCTTTTACTGTCCGAAAACGAGGTGCTCGGTCACGTGATAGGAGATAGTGACAAAAGGAGCTTTTCGCTGAGTCGCAAAATGCCAAATAGGATTGAATTCCACGTGTTCATAGAAATTTCAAAACAGAGAATAGCGCGAATCATTATTCTTACTTATCCTCCTTCTGTTTTACACCTTTTTTGGACGCAGCTTTTTTAAGGCTTTTTAGAAAATTTAGGAATCAGAGAAATAGGCGTTTCAGCCCAAACGTAAATCTGCGTAGCTTTTTTTTTTATTAGAGGAGAGTACATTGGACGATCGAAAGGATTTGTGAACCGAAACAAAATGACAGAGACATCCCAGCCCTGCGCCCCCAGCTTTTGTTTTGGCAATCCCAATAAATTTAGCGATTGGTTAAATTGAAAACATGATTATGGCTGGAAGGGTGAAATGTCGTCGATCTTCCAGGCTGTTAGCAACGAATCGCCTATTTTTCGGTAATAAATCTTGAACTCAATTTCCAAACAAAATATCATTGCAGTCCAATGCTCTCAGAGAAAAAAAAATGTTTGCCGTTTTAAGATATCCGGGAGCCTTCGTTTTAAGCCCTTTCTAGCGATGTAATTTACAACGTACACTATTTCATCGTCAGCGTTACGTTGCAGAAATCTAATATTTTCCAGGAGAACCTTCGGAGATGGGGGGTGGGGGGTCCTTCCTCCTATTTTTTGTTTTCGTCCTTGTTTGTGTTCACAAACAGGAGGAGTACCAGTCGTGCAATTTTAATGCGAACCCTATTCAGGCTACACCTGTGACAGGAAGGTTATTCTGTTTTAATGAAAAATTCCTCTCTAAACATGAGTCCAAACTCGGTTGAATATTTCCGAGTTTAATAAAATTTAGTCCCGGAGAGATGTTTACAGGTTCTAAATTTCTTAAAAACGTGGAACTTAATTTCCTGGAGTGGAATATTTGGAACGAATTCCTGTAAAATTGAATTAAATGGAAAAATCCGTCGGAATGACGAAGAGAGGCTCCTTCTTCGTAAATCTAAGGATTGTCTCTGATCTACTTACAAGCATTCGCCAGTATTCGGACTGACCTGGATTTCCTCACAGTAACGTTGCATTAATTTCTGCTCCCACCTCTGAATTCAGGAGTTTCGCTCGGAAATTTTAAGTAAAAGAGAAAAAGAAATGACGCTCCGTTCGCCCGAAAAAAGGAGGAGGACAAAGGGAAGAAAGTAAGGAGGAAGGGACAGAGGAAAGAAGAAGAAAGGACGCGTATATTTGGTAATTATTCATGACAAAACGACTCAAACTGCGAATTAGATGCTTCGAAATTTTGAAGGAAATTTGGGGAAAGCCTCTCGGACCCTATCTCTCCGCCTACCCTCAGCTCGAAGTGTCTGGATCCGCGTATATTTTTAAAGTAATGTAGACATTAGATGTCATAAGATTCAATAAGTCTCTGATAACATGGATCGAATTAAGCCAAAAGGATCCAGCGCGATTACAATGCTTTAAAAATTGTGCAACTTCTCCTTTTCTCTTAAAGATACTTAGTATAAGTGCCGTATTAATATTTACACAATTTTTTCCTTTAAAATTGAAAATTTTATGGTAGGAAGTCAAATTATTTGATATTCTGGGAGATTTTTTCAGATAATTATGAAGAGGCAACATTTTTAGAATCGTGCAGATTCCTTTTTGCTAAATGGACTGCATTTTGCAATTTG